GTGCAGTTTTACTTGATTTTTAAAAATCATCAGTCACAGTTCATGTCTAAATCACAGACAGCCAACAGTTGCCCTATTGCAGCAACCAGATTAATACTACTGATAAGAACAGAATTCTAAATTTCACAGGTCCCAAGAAAAAAAAAAATCTAACATCACTCTTCATTTACTTAAATACAAATCATAATTTAATCATCATTAAATTAAAAACAATACAGACATGCCCTATCCTAACTGACTAACTGTTTGGTGAATGATAAAGAATGAGATTTTGTTACACTTACCTGGAGTCCCACTGTGAGGTGGGGAAGTAGTGAAACTCACAACACGTGTAAAGCCAAGATTATTTCATGAATAGTGGATCACCTGAGAGAATTTTCTTTTCCCCCCTTTCTCTCTCTTCAGCCTGTGACCAACATCAAGAAACAAAAAAACACAAAGTGGCGATTCTTTATTCAGTTGTGTTTGTATGGCAGCAGCAGTGCTAATGTACAGTTGAGTGAATGTTTTCAGCACCACGGTCAGCGCAACTTTATTGTATATACCCTCAGTGGACCACGTGACTCCCCCCTCCGCTACCCCCCAGCTGCAGGCAGCACTGACGTCACTTCCATTGATAAGAATGTTGGTGTGGAGATGGCACCGTGAGTCTAGGCTGGCCCCAGCTGATGAATGAACGGAAATGGCATGAATGAAATAGTATTTTTCCTGAATGAAAAGAGAAAATTGTTGAGATACAGCTGGTACGCCGCCATTTTCTTTCTCACATATTAAAGGTTAGTGTGTTTCTTCTTCCTCCCTTGTTCCTTCCTTCCTCTGGTCTGGCTTGCTTCAGATTCAGGAGCAGGAAAAATATATAGTGACCTCATTCAATTAGGGTCATTTGGTGATGCCCTTTAAAGAATCAGTCACTTGCATCTGCAGCTTCAGAGAGAAAAGTGACATGAGCTCTAGAGGCTGGTTTCTCTTGCAGCCTGGTGTTTTAGGCTTTTGTCTGAGGTGGCCCTGATCCTCTGTGACTGCGTGACTCATGGGCCATGGGAGCAGCCATGCTTTGTGCTCAATTTCTGCTCAATTTCCGAGGATTGCACAATTTTCCACCTGCTGTCTCGCATAATTTCTGGCTGCTCTCCATCTGTCAGCAACACACTGTGCTGTTAACATGGTCTCTCATCACTGTTCATTTTCACATCGCAGAGATGAAAGTCAATGACCATTTGTACCCAAATCTACAACACTACTGACACATGTTACACATGATGATTTAATGCAGGATGTACAATGAATTTCTGTTGTTTAACATTGATCATGTTTCCCTGACTTTGTGATTAATTGATTATTAATTAATGAATTCTGACTCACAATTTCCTCGTGCATTTATACAGCACCAGATTAGGAACAGTGTCATGCTCAGAACAGCGTATTTCAGACTTGGGCATTTGATTAGCCTCTTTAAAAATGGAAAACTACCCATTCACATAAAAAATATAAGCTTGTTTTATGGAAGCCTGATGCAGTGCCCTTTGTTTCTGTTACATTTAGAGGCTACTGTAAGGGGTGGCATGTATGTTTTTAATGATATATTTGCTGTTTGTGGAGTGTAGAATAGGAGTACATTGAGATTGGGAATATCAAGCAAGTTCCAGCCGACAAATCAGGGGACACAGACAGTTTAAGCCTGTTTTCAACAGTTTGTATTGTAAAGAAGTGATAAAGAAAACTAGATGTTAACCTTGTGATGGGAATCTGATTGCAACATTTGGAAGTTTACATATGATTACCAGTTTGATTAAAATGGCTTCATATATCCAAGAAACTGGCACTGTTGCATGATCAAATTCATGGCTCTGAGATGCCTTTTTTATGTAACTGCATTTCAAATAATAGCATCTGTATGACTTAGAGTACCACTCAAAGGTTTGGACAGTTTCTTATTCAAATTGTTTCTTTTTCTATTGTTTTCTCATGTGTTTGCTAATACTGAAACACTGAAACTATGAGGTAATATGTATGGAATTATGTAGTAAGCAAAACAAATTTTAAAAATTTGCATACGAAACAAAATTTTGGGCTTTGGTAACAGCCTTGTACCCCTTGGATTTTCCTCACCCAGCTTCATGAGATAGCTACCTGGAATGCTTTTCCAACAGTCTTGAAGCTGAGCACTTGTTCACTTCACTCTGTGCTCCAGCACATCCCAAACCATCTCAGTTGGGTTTAGGTTGGATGATTGTGGAGGCCAGGTTATCTTATCACTCTCTGCAGATTGTTGTGGTAGCCATGCAAGTTAAGTGTGCCTTGAATTCTAAATGAATCACCAGTGTCACCAACAAAGCCCTCCCCCCACTATCACACCTCCTCCTCCATACTTCACTGCAGATACCATTCGTTCACCCGCTCTGTGTCTCATAAAGACACAGTAGCCAAAAATCTTACATTTGGGCTTATAAAACCACAGATTTCTACTGGCCTACTGTCCATTCCTTGTGTTTCTTTGCCGACGCAATTTTGTTCCTATGTCTCCCTCAGTAGCTGTTTCTCTGCAGCAAATCAGCCATGAAGGCCTGATTCACACAATCTCCTCCAGTTGATACTTAGGAAGCAGTGGTGTAGGCTCTAACCTCAGCTGCCGTTAATTGGTCACTTCCAAGGCAGATACCTCTAATGAACTTACCCTTTGCTGCAGAGGGAACTCTACTCATCCTTTACTGGGGTGGTCATCACAAGAGCCAGTTTCATCACAGCATTTGATGGTTTTCCACTTGAAGAAAGTTCTTGAAATTTTCTAGATTGACTGACCTCGATGTCTTAATGTAATATCTGACTGTCTCTTGACTTAGTTGAGTGGTTCTTGCCATAATATGGATAACTATAGTAGTCAAATAAGGCTATTTGCTCTATTCCCACGCTGCCTCTTTGCCCAACACAACTGATGGTCTCAAACACACTAAGAAGGCAAGAAATCCCACCAGTTTCTAACAAGGCACAACCTCATAAACCTGGGATATGCCGCCAAGAGTGTGCAGAGCTATCATCACGACAAACCGTGGCTGCTTGAATCTAAAATCTGAAATTTATTAGACTTAAAAACTTTTTTGTGTGTAAGCACATAATTCCATGTGTTATGCAGTTTGCACATCTTCTTCATTAATCTACAGTGTAGAAAATAATCAAAACTAAGAAAAACCACTGAATGAGAAGGTGTGTTGAAATGTTTGACTGGTTCTAATAAATCAACATTGACTGATTAACTCAGAGTAGCTTCATCATTCTTAAAACTGACTAACAGGAATACCGTATATGACTCATTACTATTAATGCATTAATTAACCATGTGGTTTGTGCCTCTATTGTAAAGTGCTACCCTAAAAAATCCAATGCATGTACACCAATACCACATATTATTTGGACTGCTAAAAAGAAATGTTTTTCTTTTTTTTACTGTTTTATGCTAACTGGCTCTAATTCTGATCGTTATCAACAGAAACTCAAGGGTTGAGCTGCTTTGCTGAAAAGTAGTGCTGGGGAATTGACTTAAATCTGCCTGAAGGTTTTTCAAGTCACTAGTCCTGCCTGAAACATCGGGATAAGAATCAAATGTTTGTTGAAGTAAACAACTCTGGGTTGCAGAGGGATGCTTTGATTACATCACCCACTCATGCATTTGCCTGTTTTTTCACTTCCTTTCTGCTCTGTTTATTATAAAATAAAAACAACTCGATCAGTTGTTCCCAAGGTCTCTTGTAACAGAGCATTTTGTACGTTATGGATCGAGGGCAAATAAATATACCGTTATGCCTGTTGTTCGGCTTTCCTGTTGTGCTGCAGGTATAGGAAGGCGCTGTGCTGTGCATTCCTGAGCTAGATAATGCAGAAACATGTTGAATCACAAGCTCATTTCCATACTTTTTATTTGCCAGTGCTAAGCCTCTGCTCTGGTCTTGTGTGCCACTGAATTCGACTGTCAGTCTTCATGTGGCTTTGTTTCTCACTGCATCAAGGCTTTTTTTGTGTTCAGGTGTGTGCGCCCATTTATGAATGTTTTTTTTTCTTTTCATATGTATGAGCATTCAGTGTGCATTCAGTTAACCACAGACAGGGGTTTTATATTATCAGCGATGTTCTAAGGTTAATTGCAAACATCAACATGAGGCCAACTTTATTATTGTGTGGCCTGATTCCAAATGTCACACTCTACCAGTGTGAATAATAGATTTGCAGATTAACAGAAATATTATATTATATCTTGGATGTCTCATTTTAAATGGGGGTATAAGCTGATCAAAGATGCTAAAATAAACATAGAATAATACATAGTGCTGCTGCAGCAACGATACAGTCCTGAGAAGTGGAAACATGCTCACTCTCTAGCTGCAAACAAAACTGTGCTTTGTTCCTGATATGAGGCAGGGTAGGACCTGATCTCTGTGTGCAAATATGTGTTTTGTGTTAGCAGACGAGATATGCACACATCAAATGAAGTTGTAATTTGTTAGAATGGCTTGAGGCACCACATAACCTCTTTTTGATTAGATTTTGTGCAAGGGACTGTTTGCTGCAGAATGCAGAGTGTTTGCAAGGTAGTAATGTTATTGTGTGTGTCTTTGTTGAAGTGCTTGATGGCAGCACCAGGCTCAGAGAGGTAAGCATGGAGCCGGAGGGCAGATGTTGATATAACGGTATGGCATTATCAACTGCCACTCAGCATTAGTTGGCCCCTTACCCTCACTCCATGTCCGCACCCCCGCACTGACTCACACTCTGCCGCCTGCTTGGCCACTCACATAGATTAACACTGGTACACCGTGCTTGCATTTAATGGAATATACACACTGGAGAACACACACACACCTCACAGTAATAGTTCAATTTCTCCCTCAGTTAGGAGCTCTGTCTCTCGTTCTCTCTCTCATGCACAGAGACAAACACACTTCTCATCTTTTACTGTAATGTACAGACAAATGAACCTTTGTAGGAGGTTGGGGCATGCTGTCGTTGATGGTCCCCCATACAAACTGCTAGGACAAGAGGTAATGTGGATGGCTTTTGTTCCATTTAATTAACTTGCTTTTTTCACTGCTGGCATTGGACTGAGAAAGGCTGCAGGGTGGTCAGGCTGAGCTAAAAAAAAATCGACATGCTTCAAATCACAGCAGATAGTAGATGATGAATTCACAATTTTTTGCTGACATTTTGGCCACAATTATGGTCATGCAGGCTGTGGATCTTTCATCAAGTGTGCTAATGCAGCTCCCTCACACAGCACAGGGTCTCTACCTGGAACTGATAAAATAGAGCTCATGATTAACAGAAGCTTTTCCGCCCACACCACGCTGTCAGGGGAGGGAAGGACAAGTAATTGCACCGTAAGGTTCCTACAGTACAATGCATAACCGGGACTTGATGATGTGTGCAGGACCTAGTGCCCACACTGTAATCTACAGCTTCATCTTGTTGTTTTTTTTTTTTCTTCTTTTTTTAATGCTTTTCGAAAGTTAGAATTTGCTCAACTTAGGCATTTTGTGTGTTTCGATCAAAGGAGACATTTGTTTTGTGGTGTCAAAAGTAAAACCTGATTTATGGTTACATGAATATTGCGATTATATTTTATATCCGTCCATGAAGCCTGTTTATCATCAGTGTTCTGGTGGGGATACAGGAAGCAGAAGTTGTCAGTTTTTGGCCTGGTTTTATAAAACAAGACCACCACAGCTCAGTTACAGTGCTACCCCACATCATCTGCTGTTTACTGCTTCTATTTTGCATTGTTATTGTATGGTTTTATAGTAAGCAGCTGTGTTTACATCTGGAAAGTGACAAGGTAGAACAGGGTGACAGCAGTTATAGCATTAAATTACTCCTATTATTGCAGTTCTCGCCCCAGTCTTGTTAGTTTTGCTAACTCGTCCCCTCTGTCCCTGTCAGTCTCCCTCAGGCCCCTGCAGTCATATGGAACTTTTCTCATCTGTCATTCCTCAGCATCCACCAGATGCCTTCCAACTTTCCCACATGCTCCAGTCAGCTGACTCTCCCCACCCACTCACACACCTGTTCCCTAAATATCAAAGTGGGAAACCAGAATGCATGACGTGAATGGGGTGTGTGTATCTACTGCACAGTATTGCTTATTTATCATTTTACCTTTCGAAAGAAGACACAGCATGAAACATGAAACGGGTTTTGCCTCTTCAGTGTTGATTGTAATTTCTTCCCCAGAATTCTAATGCAGAAAAGATGCCGTTCGATAGTTAAAACTGGAATAATAAGCAGAATGCAGAATATTTTCAGAAGGTTTTCTATGTGATATAATAAACACAGAAAACTAAACGAATCAATAAACTGTAAAGGTGTTTCAGGCCCAGAGGAAAAGGAAAAACTCTTAAGAGTGACAGACTCAAATATTCCCAATTTTTGTGGTGCCTCCAGCTACTGTACTTTAAATCCTTTACCAGCACTGCAAAAGAAAAATGTCTTTCAGCTCGCATTGTACAGCGCTGTGAGAGAACACCATCCATTCATAAATACTCTGTAATGGGTTAACACCTTCACTTTAATGAATATGGTGTTACAAGTGATATTTGAATCTATAAGCCAGTATAAATGATGTGAGAGAATGGGCTCTGAACAGCCACTGAATGCCAAAAGTCTATCACATAAATTAGGCCTATGATAAGAGTTACGGTAGGAGTCGGTGGACCCCTTGCAAAGTGGATCTTTGTGAATAATGTGTGCTCAGTTGTGGTTATTGCTGTGTCCTACTCGCTCATTGTCTGCTACTCTGAAATTATTTACCCACTTGAATATTAGCTGTAAAATGTGCATTGCAACCATTGAGAAACGAGTGGCGTCATTGACGGATGGTGTTGGAGGCCAGAAGCAGGCAATGAATTTGAGGTTGATGAGGCGACTCATATTATAGCATGCGACATCAGCACTCGCCATCAATCTCTTCCCCTCTCCCCTGTAGACATCTGGCACATGCATCAGCAAACACAGTATTGAAAGAGAATGAAAAACAAAAAACATACACACAGTTTCAGAGGCAGTGCTGCACAATGAAGGCCTCATGAGAAGACACTGAGCCTGCAGCCAGCTGCCTCTAATGCACTACAGTAGAATGAGACTTTATTAGAATAATAGCTTGCCTCCATATTGCTTGTTATCAATCATTACATTTTAAACTGATGATTTGTTTTAAGGTTAGGGTGAAGTTAGTGATTATGGTTAAAGTTTGGGTGGGTCTCAGAAATGAATGCAAGTCTATAGGAAACCGATAAAAGACAAAAACAAGGATGTGTGTTTAAGTGCCCAACTTTGGATTTTATCTAGAATGTGCTGTCCTGACCAAATGTATGGAAACATTTAGATAACTGCAGTTAATATAGAAGAGAATACACTGGTTGTAAAGAAGTGTAAAAGTGGGTCATTATACTTTAGACAGTAAAGCTGCCTTGTGCCATCAAGCCCTGGATATTTTTTTCATGTAGTCAAAATGTAAAAACTAAAATAGCTGAGGAGTGGTCAACATTTTGTTTAATTTTAAGGTGTCCCTAGTATTTCTGTACATGTTCCTTCTGTATTTGCAGCACATTTCTTTAAGCCGTGCGTGGGTTGCCAAGTTGGTGCATGTGTTTCTTAATTTGCTTCATTTACATATGCTGCCTTGTTTTTAAGTGATGTATTAGTTGTCAAAGAAGCAAGAATGCTTTCTTCATTTTCTTGCCTTTTGTTGGTTTGGATGTGTTTTGTTAAGATGTAGTGGGTTCAGCTCTCACAGTAACTCACTATGCTTGGATTCTGTGATTTTAATCCAAACCTGCATTCTGTCACAAAGTGCCTCTGTAGGTGAATGGGATGCCTTGTATTTCTTCAGTAATCATTTGTCAGCTTAAACGAGCCTTTTTATGAGCAAAGATTTAATAGGTTTTTCCTAAATCATTTCCTATGTGTGTCTTTAGTGAAGGGCTTATGCATGGTTTTGGTTTCAAGAGCATCAAGTTTGAATTTGTGAAATAAAGAAAACACTTGTTTATGAATTCCTAACAGGTTGGCAGACAGATTTGCAGCGATTGGCCTACTTTTAATGATTTTTCTTTAAGCTTGTCTGTGTTGCTGTACATACTGCAGGCCTAATGCAAACAGGCAGACAGAGGGAAGGATGAGCCCTCCAAAACTCTTTGTTAAAATGAAACCTGTGATCGGTTATCAGTACACCACCCAACTGGAAGGGAAGTAATTTGAAAGGCGTTGAAATGTGGTAATTTGCCGGTGTGACTCATCGCCAACACCTACAGCCGCAAAGCTTCTGGTCCTCGAAAGGAAGACTATAGGTCGCACAACTCTGTGTTTCTGTGTGGGTGCGTGTTTTTCTGTGGTTTTGTGGACAAGTTTTATTTTGAAATCACTGTTGTGTGGACATTTTGGCCAGTCCTCACAACATCTATCAGGGCTGTTTAGCAGTTAAGACTTGGTATTTTTTTAGGATTTATGATTAAGGTTGGTTTTAGGAAAGGCATTATGTCTGCTGGTGCATGAGGTTCATCAATATAAACATATAGAACAATATGAAGCTTCCTATCATTTATTTATATACAGTACATTTAAATACTTCCTGCTTCACTGTAAAATAAAAGGGGTCAGTATTGCTCTTTTTACATCATGCTCCAATTTTCATTGATTTACCGTTAATATAATCAGAACACTTTGAACTGAGCCCTTTTTTGTAACTCAATTACATGCATCAGCTACAGAGTCTGTATGTGTAAAATCGGGCACAGCTTCTTTTACTGTTCCGAGTCAAGAGATGTTTTTATTGATAGATGTCCTGTGCAGATTACTGACATCCTATAAAATGGGAAAACATATTTGCCAGGGGTTGGAAGTGATATCTGAGATATTGAACAAACTGCTTGCATTTTGATAGCTAACAGGAAGCCAGGGTCCAGTTAACACAGTTTTGATGACAACCTGATGGTATCGCCATAAAACAGGGAATGCTCGTTTGAGGTGTCACAGTGAGGGAAATTATCATGATTAATGCAGGGTTACGACTAGGCACGAATGTAATCAGTCACTTCTTAATCATTATCTCCCACTGATTAATTTTGGCTCAGTCTTTAAAATAAGATATCAAGCATCACTATGTTTGGCAAAGATCTTAAACAAGACTTTCCAGTGTGAATCCAGGTTAAAAACAATCTATCAGATTTTAAGTAGTAATTTCCTGAAGCGGAGATATGAAGCACTGCAGTTGGCAACTTGTACTAATTTGCACGTTCATTCATTCATTCATTTTCTACCGGGGGGGGGGGGGTCCGGAGTCAATCCCAGCCGGCAATCGGGCAAAGGTGGGGTACACCCTGGACAGGTCGCTAATCCATCGCAGGGCTAACACATAGACGAACAACCACACACACTCACTCCTATGGGCAATTTAGAGACACCAATCAACCTAAGCTGCATGTCTTTGGACTGTGGGAGGAAGCCGGAGTACCCGGAGAGAACCCACGCAAGCACGGGGGGAACATGCAAACTCCACACAGAAAGGTCCCCGATGGGGCCCGAACCCAGAACCTTCTCGCTGTGAGGCAACGGTGCTAACCACTGTGCCACCCTGCACTAATTTGCACGTTAATAATAAAAATAAATGCATTTGTAGTCCTGTCCATTATTTAAACATACAACCTCTTTGTTCCACTGCAACTCTGAACAAAACCAGGTCCTGGATGTAGGTTGAGTAGAGATGCAGCCACCATGGCGTCACTTTTCAGCCCCTTTTGTTCTTTCAATTGTCACCATTGTTCAACAGCCACACCAATGTTAAATCTGGTTTTACTTCTTGCAGCATCCAACTTCTTTTTAGTTGTAATTTTTACTGTCTTCAATGCAAGTGCAGTTAAATATTGCATAACAACAACCTTTCTTGTTTACATACCATGAGGTTGCATTACAATATAGTATATGTAAGAGTGCAGTTTCATTAGCAAAACATCTTCATCTTGCATAATATTTACAATTCATAAAAATGTGG